GATTCGAGCCCACTACGTGTCTACGGACTCATCTCACCGTGCTCTACGCAACGGTACAACCGGAATTCCCAAATTCCTTCCGGATAATAAAATGACTAAAATACCCCTATCCCACGGGTAAATTCTTAATTCCACTTAAATAAATTAAACATGGGACAAATTTGGGGTCGGGGTGTTACAATAAAGTTGATATTTAATTAAGGTAGGGGCTGCGCGACCGCATGCCCCCACTGCAACAAATTATGACGTTAGCTCTCCTACGTTGAGGAGACCATAGGCAGGCACCCCTCCTAAGTGCAATGGAGGTCACCAACCTAGGCCATGAGCCTTCTTGATCGCCCATTGATCCCGTCCAGGTAAGTATGTTTCAAAATGCCTCTAATTCCTTTTTAATACATGAGTCTCACTTTCTACTTCTTATGCATTTCCGATGTGGTACTTGAAGCTAGATATAATCACATGCTAAAATTGTAGAAAAAGTGCCAAAGACACATGCGATTTGACAAGATTGATTAAACTAGAGAAACACTTATAATTAAAATATTTACTATAAGTAAAATATTAAGGAGCACATATGAAAAGTAAAACCTTAGCAGTGAAAAGTTGCATGTTTTCTCTTCCAAGTCTGACACAAAATAATAAAGGAAATATTAAAGGAAATTGGTCATAAATAGTCTCATAGACTAGGGGTTTTGTAGAATTAGATGTGCAGCTATAGTATAATTGACCAATACAACAACTGCATAAGTTATACTTTGAGAGCTCGATTAAATTTCACAATGAATGGTTTTCTAAGTGTGATTTAGTTGCAGCTCATCAGAAGCTTTCTCTCCACTCATCATAAACACATTTAATCTCAACAATTGGACTTAACAACATCAATTATTTTTAATGGACACATAATGTCATGGTGAAGAGAGTAATAGAAAACTATATTACTTCAGTTTCTGTTGGATTCAAAATTTTCCTTTATTATAGTCGAGAACATATCCGTTTGCATTCTTTAATAGTGGACTAAGATCTCCACCACTTTCCCCCTATATATTATATTGTTCTCTACCCATCGAATGCGGTTGCATCTCAGCGTCAGATCTCCACCACCATCCTTTGCTCTTCAACTCCATAGGTGCCTCTTCCGTCATTCTTCCTCGGTGGCACTTTCTAGTATGTCAATGTATTTAAAGTACATTTTGTACTTATTTTTTGGATTGTAGTAGTGCTCTTTGAAACTTTGGTGGCTTGTCCACCATCATTCTCTGTTGGAAGCTTTGGTTTTATTTAACGGTTACTCCTCTATGGTTGTAGACATTGGTGGTGTATTAGTTTCATGTTCTTAGGTTTATGGTTTTTTTTGTTTGTTTTATTTTTTGCGGGATCATTGTTTTTGGGCCTCAACTTTGTTTTTTAATGGTTTGTTTTTAAAATGGGATTTTTTTTTTTTTTTTTTTTTTTTTTTTTTTTTTTTTTTTTTTTTTTTTTTTTTTTTTTTTTTTTTGCTTTTTGTTTAGGTTTTTTGCCAATGTAACGTCTTAAGTGGGTTTTATGCCTTTGATTGGCGTTATTGGCATAGTGAGTTTTATGTGGGCTTGATGTCTTTTGTGTTGCTTTTGTTGTTTTCAGTTTTCTTTTATGTAACTAGCTTTAGCTTTATATATTAATGAAACTTGATTCCGCTTATTAGAAGAAGAAAAACATCAAATTTCATATAGAATAAGGCGGTAAAAAAATTGGCAACTTTCTGTCATCCTCCGCATTCAAGGTAGATGACAACCTTAGCACCTTACAAGCAAGTTGGAGTAAATGGAAATAATGATTAAATGGTTCAATGGTAACTTAAATCACTGCTAGGTGTTCAAAAGCTGAAAGCGGAGATGGTGGCTTAGCACCAGCAGTTTGGAATCAGAATGAAAATTTGTTAAATGGGCACTGGATCATAAAAAATCCTTAATTTCCACATTGAAAGGTTAGTTTCCATTGGGGCTTTAGAGTTGGCTGGGCTGTGAAAAAATTAAACTTGTTTTAGCGGGTTGCGCCAGGCCCATGCAGTAGTGCAATACTTGGGCGACGCTCGAGAGTTGCAATAGCAAGCTACTGTGGTAGACCCTCCCCCAAAAGAAATTAATTTAATATCGTGTGAACCATTAGTCCACGTATCAGATATTAAACTGATAAGAACAGATACTACACTTGATCTTAGCCAAAAGGCCGAGAAAGGTATGATTTTAACTGTCTTGGGCTGACCTATTTATACAATCTCCGTTCTCCTACTTTCTTCAACTGGTCGATGTGGGAATGCGAAAACACTTTCTTGAACAACTCTCTCTTGCCGTCTCTGATACTTGTTTTTTTTATTGTCAAGTACTGCTGCATCCCTTGACATTGGGCTCTACCTGCTTTTTGTTTAATTGAACTGGGCCTGTCACAGCTCTTGGGAAAAGATGAAAGCCCAAATTGTCCCCAACAGACTAACAGGTGCTTGGGATATTTCACTGCCAAATTCTGGTACATTTATCCATTAATGAAAGTCTCTGTGCCTTGTTCGTTGAGATGGCTTTGAGCTTTACCTGCACTGCTTCTATTTCTACTCAGCACCAAGGTTTCTCCTTTCTCTTT